GCGACAGCGTTTGTCAACGATCGATCAAGGACGACGTGGGAGGCCTTACCCGTTGCCGAAGCCGCAAGTAACGAGATAGTTTCCTCGAACGTCGAAGTCGCTGAGAGAACCACCGTGGGTGTCGAAGGTGTGCTCGACGGACAAGGTAGCGGGATCTCTGAGATCGATCCTTCCGGCAGGATTGCCGCAGCAGACGAGTCTGCCGTGCCGCCTCAAGATGGCACAGCCGTTTTCGCCGACGTGTACCTGGGCGGATGGGTGCGATTAGAAAGGGACGCGGCCGGCGGATGGAAAATCGGACGCTCACCAGTGCGGTCTCTCTGCCGGTGGTGAGATCGAAATCGACGACGTTGTGCTGATGGCCCGCGAGGAGCAACCTGGCGGGGGAGATTCTCAGCATGCACTGCATGTCGATCATGCTGGAGGACCTATAGGTTATTCACCGGCACGTGTGAAAGAGCGTCGGCGGAGGAGGATCGAAGAGATACGTACGCGTGCGTGAAGACGGGTATACCGCGTCTCAACTGACACCTGAGCAGGCTCTGCGTCAAGATGAGAATCGCCTCGTCCAAGGGACGAACGTGCCTGACCTCTTGAGCGGCGTGAACTTGGAAGGAGGTGTACTTTTGCAGAGCGGAGCCGTAGTAAGACGTCACGTGACCCTGCGAAGCGTCGTGGACGAGTTAGAAAGAAAAGGGAGGACGGGGAGAAGCGCGGGCGATACCCCTTGATTGCCCATCCAGACGAGTTCCTCGACGTCGTCGAAAGCGACGGTGGAGACTCCGAAGGCGTCGCCGCCATCGGCGAGCAAGGTGCGAGTCTGGCGAAACTCGGCCGGAGCGTACTCGTCGGTGGACAAGACGTGGTCCCCTGGAAGGAGAACGGGGAGGTGCGGTTAGGCGCGTTCGAGAGAGAAAGAGAGAAGAGGACTTACAAACGAGCGGTCGGTCGTCGGGAGCGGCGTCGGACGGGTGGTAGCGATCCAAGAGCGGATAGTCCATGACGGAGCGAGTTTGGGAAACGTGGAATGGCGGTCGGCGGGGAGTCGCGTTGGCAACGGAGGACGCGAGGAGGGAGCGCGTCGGGAGCGCCGCGAGCGGAGGAAGGAGAAAGGAGCGAGGTTGGCGGCAAGTTTGGTCGTGTTAATTTTGGAGTTTTTCTTTCGGTGGTGTGGGTTGTAGTCGGAGTGGAATTGCGTTGATTTGTACTTCTATTTTTTACTGTAAATTAGTTTTTTGGTAACGTTGATTTTGTACTTTTATTTTGCAAGGTAAATGTTTTTTCGTAACGTTGATTTTGTACTTTTATTTTTTAATGTGAATTAGTTTTTTCGTAATTGGTTGTATTTGGGGGTAACGAGTGTTTTTTCGTTAATTTGGAGTTTGTTGGTAAATTTGTGCGAAAAATGTTGGATATTGCGACGAGAGGTGCTAGAGAGGTTGTAATAGAAATGAATTTGTTTTAAATTCGTAACTGGTTGGTTACTTGCGAGTGAAAGGTAGTATCGGAGTAATGTTTATTTGTATTTGTTTTTTTGTAA